ATTTTTATGAAAAAAAAGCTTTCGGGCTGAAGTCCCCCCCCCAAAATTAAATCCTGGATCCGCTAGTGCATAGAGATCATTCTTCCAATTACTGATTGCATGTTGAATTAATTTTTTTCTATGGTTAATTTCATAAGCACATGGGTATAAAAAACCAAGATGTTTTGCGCTTAATTGCAGTACTGGAATCATTGGACGCTCCTGTCTAAAGCGGTGTTCAGAAGGCTAGAAAAAAAGTGATTTCTGCCGAAGCTCGTAGCTCGGGTGTCATCCTGCAATTTATTTATACCTTGTCAACACATTTTAAAGAGTAAGGTTTACGTGTCTTACAAGTTCTGATAACTTAGGCTCAAATATTTATCCTTACTACCAAATAATAATTTTCTGTGATCTCTTCAGGCACACTGACAGGGGTTTACTTTTAATTAATTTGCTTTTGTTAAAATATATTTCTAAATCGCAGGGAAAGTTGAAGATATGAAGACAATCTTGCCTCCTGCCTTACTCGTGTCCAATATCTCTCCTTACGAAGGAACAGATGAGAGGCGTCCCGCTGGTAGTAGACCGTGGCACGTGGCCCAACACAGACACAATATCAACCAGCCTCAGTAACTAGTGAGGGATTGATTCTTTATTCACCACCCAGAGGGCACCCGTTTCTCCTTGGGGGGTTATATCATGTTAACCAATCTGATTCCATAGATTTACCATGATATATATCTACTCGATTAAAAACCAATTTACCACCACTTCGGTGTAGGCAAATTTTTATTATCATCCAACAATAAACTGAATAGCCAAGTTGAGAAATAAACCTGTCAGTCAAGTTTATATTTCTTTATTTCAACCAAATTGGGATCAATGGCACTTGAAGATTAGAGAATTAATCACATAAACACCTTTGGGTTATCCATAGAAATAAGCAACACACGTCTTAAAATATTTATTTTATTTACCGTTTAAAAAATCAAAAAATTATAATAAAAGAAGTGTTTAACATTCCCAGGAAGTACCTTTCTTGATTTTTGATATGGCAAAGTCGTGAATTACTTCTTCATATTCTATTTCTTTTAAGATTACTTTGTATCGAGATCAGTGATAAATGATCGATTTACCTTAAAGGATCATTCTTCTCACTCATTTCATTCTTGATTTGTTTTACCTTTGAGAAGGAATTTTTCCCCATTGCAATGTGCTTCCAACGTTACCGAACTTACCGTTTACCGTCTTACCGAACAAGTTTTCCCACTTCGGTAAGTGACGACAAATATTTCATAGCTAAACTAACTAATAAAGAATCGTTTTATTGGTTGCAGGGATACCCATCTCCCCCTTCCCAGAAATGTAAGCCATTTCAAATTGAAACTCCACAAAAATAACTTTGCCCTTTCTCAAAGCTTTTGATGTAGCAACTCAACCAAACAACTCCTTCTGGTCATCCCTAATTAGTTGAAAAATTACGAATAGTCATTGCTTTGCTAATAAATATATGGATCACGATAGTTAGCGGTCCTTGGTTTTGTGGTCCGCTAGACTGGAGATTAATCATTAGTAGATTAGTACAAACGTCACTTCTTCTCGTTCAATGGGCCAAGATCTCCTGTTCACTTTATAAATGGATTTCAGAGAATAGCCGAAGATTGCCAAAGTGTTCAAAGAATAACCTCCCTTTATTTAGATCGCGATTTACGACTTTGACAAACTTCCTACTGGCTCTTTCCAGTTTAAATTGAGGCGGTAATTAGTTTTAATTGCATCGCTGCTCTCGACTTCCATTTGTTCTAAAGGAAAAATAAATCTTCAACAGGTTGTTTACCGTTAAGGTCCTTACCAAACGGATCAGTCATATTCGTGTACTTCCGAAAACACTCGGCCATTCTCGTGATTTTATTTATGGTGGGATCATGAAATCTTGTGTCATCCATAAAAGCACAGGCGGATCTACGGGGAGATTTTTCTTTAAAAAAAAATTAATTATTGTTATATATATATATATATATATATATATATATATATATATATATATATATATATATATATATGAAAAAAAAAGCTTTCGGGCTGAAGCCCTCCCCCCCGCAAAATAAAATCCTAGATCCGCTAGTGCATAAAAGTATAATAGAATGACATTTGTACAGTAGTACGCCTGTAATATCAGTAACATATATATGTTTTATTTTTCTTATTGATTAATAAAATGTTGAAGTTTATTGCATCTGATAATAATGGAGGGGTTGTCTTCTTTCGGGTATAAAATCAAGTCTATAATGAACAAATTTTATAATCGTTGGTAATATAGGCCTGGTATTAACAGTTTAAAAGGTGCTATCCTGAAAGTGAGACAAACAAACGATTTAGACATGTCAGCAGTGCGATGCGGGGCAGACCGCAACCAATCGGTCGGGTATTAGCTTGCAACAGCTTTAATCACCGGTGGACAGAGCCGAGGGGGCGGGGCCAGAGTGGGCGGGGCTAACAGGGAGTGGGGGCCGAAGGGGAGCCCTGATTGGACAGGTCCCCCCGATAGCAAACAGATCGGCCCTCACACCCCAATGGCTCGGCCCATCATAGCCGGGGTAATTCAATTTAAGAGTCGGTCCGCTGAACTCTTTTAATTCGACCGCCATTATAGCTTCAATTATAAACTGTTAATCCAGGTGGCATTAGCTATTGACCACCTTCCCACGCGTTGCCTCGGCTTTACCAATCCTTCATTAAACATCGCCAAGCCTCTAATCTTGGCCATATTATCTTTAATGTCCTGTTTCCTCAAATCTGCTCCATGTCATTAATATAAATGGCCTCTCAATAGCGTCAGATAAATGTCGCACGAACGACATACAACAACTATTATGTTTTGTCCTTTATACTCGGATATAATATTTAAAAATTATGATTAAGTTTTAAACTATTATAGTACACTAATTTTAGAGAAGTATAAACTTCAAATTTCGCCACTTAATTTAAGTTTCCAAATAGAAAGCAATGGCTTTCAACCGACTTACGTAAGTTGTATGTTCAGATCAAGTTTATGTAGAATTTAAAATGATGAAACGGTTGGTAGCTCCTTGTCTAATACCCTTTTGTTCAAATAATACTGCCTAAGCTCCATCGTAATTTTTTATTTATGCAACAGATTTTCTTAGTTGCAATGGAATTATTGGGGTTTAGAATAATAATCATTTTAAATTCTACCACAACTACGTACTCATTTAAAAAAAAAATTATAAAACGAGTATTATTTTATATTTATAATGTAAGCAAAACGTGTATAATAGCTGGGCTACAATTAGCCATAATCAAGCAAAAATTCGTAGAACTGTAGTCCAATACTGTTATTGCTGGTTAATTGGATGTTGACGTGTGCCCTGTCATGCCATCATCATCAATTTAATTACTGGGTATTAAAACCATTTAATTTGAAATGGTTGTACGCAGCGATAAATAATAGATTTGAGTTGCTTTTTCTCTTTCCATGAATTCGATGTAGGAATAAATTAGTGAGCTGCAAAGTTTGGATTGGTTTTTATGTAAAAAAAAATTAATTTTTGTTATTATGCAATAATATATATATATATATATATATATATATATTTATGGTACATTTCTTTCACGTTTACATTTCGAATGTGGGAGGTTTGTGTATCAAGATCTGAAAACTGTAGAAATTCAAGAATTTATTCACAATAGTGACTATGAAGATTTTCAAACGATTTCGTGTTATTTGCTTAATGAGATCAAATTATTCAGACTGTTAGAGTTCAATATCTTGGACTGACATTTGATAGAAGAATGACATGAGGTCAGGGGTGCCCATTCCTCCAAAGTTCGATGGCTCATGAACTCCCCTGTATTGCTCTGCTCTTCTTAAAATCAGTTCAAGCGAAAGTAGAATTGGAAAAATCGTACCCCAAAATACACTTGCAGTGGCCTGGTCCATGCTTTCAGCTTGTTCTCTGGATTGAAACTTTTCAATCTGAAAAATTATGACAACGTTGAAATCTGTCTCCCTAAAAAATTCTGATGGCGCAAGTTGTGCCATGAAACTCCCTCCTGGAAAACAAAAACTCTAAACATAAGACCACGTCTATTATATCCACTTCTCTCAAGACGTTCAAAATTAAATCTAATACAGAAATTGAATACATACACTTACTTACTTAAGCCCATGCTTAACAGATATAATGAACATCCAAAAAGACCCACATACGTGGACTACATACTTTTCAATAAATGCTATAACCAAAACCCCCTGATACGTTAGTTACATTACTTCACATAAAGACCTAGATGCCAACAGTTAACAACCACATATGGACACACAATAAACGTTTTCATAACACGGACATATCGATTCACTGATTCAACGCATGGCCACAATCAACACGCTCGATAACACCCGTAGGTGGTTCAAAAGAATCTGGATGAGGAATCTTCTTCACTAACTATAAATATTAAATCAAGAGAGGAAGGGGGACGCCGACGGGAACTCTTCTCCCTCACGCCTACTGATGTAGCACGGAGCAATCCATCAGGAAGCCGCTGCACAAAAAAGAATGCCTCAATTGTAGGCAAGAGTTAACATGAAAGGCCAAAAAGTAGATGGACAAATCTAATCAACAAAGTTGAATAGAGATGCATGCAGATAACAGGAAAGAAATAGTCCAAGATGGGTAGAGATGAAAAAAGGCAGATTAAGGCGGAAAAGGTCCCAAATGTCCGTCAAATGGCAAAGAGAAGGAAAGAAGAGGGGAAGCAACCATTTATAATTATGCAGTTATTATTAAAGACTTATATTTTTACATCTATTTCTTGTAGAGCGAGATAGAGCATGCCCAATGAGGAGCAGGTTGTGTCGCTGCGAACAGGGTCGATGGAAAAGTCTTCAACTGAAGATCAAAGCGTAATGTTTGCTAAAGGAGAGAAGGCATCCCCGCGTGGACAAGGCCCGTTTCACAATTAGCTATAGATATGTAAATGGCGAAGCTGATTGGCCATCCATGCCACGTGACCCTTTTGAACTCGTCGGTGGTGATCGGCGGAGCGGACTGATTGCAAGGGTGCTCCGGCCCCCAAGGGTTGTGCCGCGTCACCTCTGATTGCTCTTATTGTCGAGGTCAATGGTCTATCGCTAAAAGATCCTCATTGTTCTCTACTTTCTTCTCCGGCAAAGTCGCCTTCTCCAGGGGCAGCACGAGGCATTCATTGCAACAGTATTTGTCACACAGTTATCTTATGATCCCACGACCCTGTCCTACTCTTATCAGTCTTTGGTACTGATTCGAAGAGAAGTTTTTTTTACTTTAAACTTTTATTCATAGTTGTGGATTGATTGTTGACTATAGTGAATAATTGAAGAGAAGGATGGTTGGGGTGATCGGATAAAATAGTAAAAATAAATAATTAATTACATTTATTAATAATAGTATAAGCATATTATTATATTATTAATTGTAGTATAAAAATAAATATAATTATTTATTTTTACTATTTTTAGTTTGCCTAATCACAACAACCATCCTTATCTGCAATTTATTCATAGTATGTTGACAATCAGCAAATGAACTGAATCTATAAGAAATAATAGCATGGCAGGCGTGAGGAAGGACAGTGCTCAGTAACACCTCTTACCTGGCTTGATTCAGTTACTTAAGGTTAATTAAGCAAAAAGATCCATCCATCAAGCACCTTTTTAGTCTTCCCCTCATATTCAGCGTTAGCTATATTTCTTATTTAACTGTTGTTATGTCCGCTTAAATTTGTATAAAAATTGTTAGTAAAGAATCGTTATACGTTGGTCAAATGTTGGCAGATGGAAGTCAATAAGTACTATAAAATTTTGTGTCAAGTACCTAGGTGCTTATTTTATGAGTAGTGTTGTCTAAATGCCTTGATCTTAGTCTTGGTCTAGCTCACTAGGTCTTGATCTTGGTCTTGGTCTTGCGAGAGAGTTTCGCGAGTCTTGCATTTACTTATTAGCTTATTTGCTATCTATTAAACTTGTTACTTTAGATCTTAAAAAACACTACAGAATAGATACATTTAGATGTTTTATTGACATAAACATAGTAAAGTCCAACCAAATTAATAAAATTAACTAGACAATACATTCAAGGCATTGTCAAGAAAGATAATATGTTCCCAACTTGGAATGTAAGAGTTTTAGAGTAAAGACAATCCATACAGTGTTACCAAAACAAAAAATAAAATATATGGTGTTTCCACTTTAACATTAAACATTTCTAGTGATTTTAAACATTTTTTTTTTCAATATTAAATATGTTCATTAAAAAAATATATCTAACTAAATGTATATAAATAAAATAAGATCAAGAATACACAATGGAAATCAAAAACACCTAAAAATGCAGAAAAAGGAGAAGAATGTAAGCAAGATTTAATAAAAAAGTCCAGAAAGAACAATAGAGGGGTTTTGAAAATAAAAAAAGTTGCTGTCACATCTAAGGCATATACCTATTTTAAATAGGTGATACCAGTTTCATAGGACTTTTCGTTTTTGAGCTAGGCTGCTGACATACAAACACACAGACCATTTTTCGGGATTTGGTCATTTCGACTCAGGGTACCTCAAAACGTGTGTTTCCGTTGAAAACTCAGATTCAAAAATTTTCGTGATCGCAATACTTACCCTTACTATATATTACATATATACGCAAGTGAAAGTAAAAAACATATCTAACATAGGTGAACTTATCTAAACCCAGATTGAAAAATTGGAAGAGTTAAATGCAAAAATATATTGATTGAGTGTGAGTGTTGACAGGGTAAGCTTAGTAACCAGATCTCAAACTAAAGTAAAAAGATGCTAACGATTGTTGTAGTGTAATATATAATCAATGCAAATGTGAATACACTTCTACAAATCTACAGGAGAGTTTGAAAGGAAAGGAAAAGGGATATAAAATGAAATAAAAGACATGAAGGAATGTGGAGAAAGAAAAGAAAAAAGAAAACCAAAAAATTAAATAAATAAGTAAATAAAAGTAGAAGAATAAAATTAGAGACATACAGGTGTGTTCAGCTAGGAGTTTCCTTAGAACATGAAACTATTATATATTACACTACAACAATTGTTAGCATCTATTAACTTTAGTTTGGGATCTGGTTACTTAGCTTACTCTGTTCATATTTTAATGTACTTATTGTTTATAATTTTAATAAGCTTATTCACATTGTTTATAATTTTTTGTCTAAATATTATGTAACTTCCACAATTATCTATCTTTTTGTATCTTGTCTCTTCTAGCCCTGAAGAAGACCTGCAAAGTCGGGTCGAAACGTTGGCTTTTAATAAAATAGTTTTACCACTATTTAGCCTATTTATGACCGCCACCCGGACTATCTCCTTCCTGTATAATGCAACGGTCAACTATTAAATATTCAAAAGTATATTAATTAGTTCTACCAATTCTTTACATATAGAAACCAAAATTGTCTAGTATTAGTAACTAATTTATTTATTTATTTTTTTTATTTTATTTTTTTTTTTTTGGAACTTCCCCTTCCTGGTCTTTAAGGCTATATTTGGTTTTCCCGGGCCAGCGGGTGTGGGCGGGGATTTAAGACTCCCCTGGCACCGGGACGCGAACTCGTGACTATTTTAAATCCATTGGTTCATAGATCAGGTTGCCGGGCAACGGCGGAGCTGTGGACACACATATTAGTAACTATTTTATCTTAATTTTTATTCGCAAAAACTTTTTTTTTTAATCAGTCTTGGTGTTGCAAAATTTAGGGGCGATCGTCTTTCCTCCTCCCTTCCACCCGCCGAATAAAAATAGACAGAGAGGGAGAATATCGTTTTGAAAATAAAATAATAATTAATCTACATGAATGAATAGAATATGTAAACTAAATTATTAAGAAAAGTCGACTAGATGACTAACCTAAGGCCTAGAAGTAGATACGTCAGTATTTTACCACATCTTGTGTTCCTATTATTGAAATTTTAGTTTATATTTAAAGATAAAGCTAGGTAGCAATATGTTGAAGGATTTTATGGTTCATTCATGGGCACTCTTCCATTTTTACGTGAAGCTTTTTATCACATATCCCTCGGAAAACTTGAAGAATCCGAGAATTGATAGTTCATCTCGCTGCCTCAAACCTTTAAATAAAAATAAAAATATGTAATATATTCAATTGCTTTGATAATATATTTTCAAATATTCCCGCACGCAAAAACAACAAAATATCTCATAAACTTATATGTAAATTAAATTTTATATATAGTATTATATTATTTGTTTTACAATAAGTATGTTAATTATCACTCATTTTTATATTTTAGATAAATTCCCGACTTTTTTGGGGTCCATCCACTCCTCCCCCCGCCCGACCAGAAAGTCTGCACCTATGATCCCCGGATGAAAACAATTCGGGGATCGTTGGGATTAGTGAATTAGTAGCGGAAACGACGAGGCTCAGGGAGTGCGGTTAATGACAGGAAGGGGTGATGCTAATATGGCCGTTGGGAAAAATAAAAAGATGATCCGGTGATCAGGGGAGTTAATTATTGCTAAGGCCGTGGTATCTCTAATTACAACCTTTACCACCACTTCCTCCCTGCAAAATGCAGGGACCTTCCAGTAAAGGTGTTTTATTCAAGCCTGATTCGGAGGACAGTCGGTACCTAGTAGTTTTTAGTAAATCTTATTTCTTAATCAATATACTGAAAAAGAATCCCTTATAGGTATTTTCCAAATTCAAATTCGTATACGATTTAGTATTTTTTTTTCAGTGACGCGGCTGAGAGAGAAGCACTGGGATCTCCTGGAGTCCTGCCTTGGCTTCCACGTCGGAGAATAAGGCATGACTCAGAGTCCCCTGTGTGAATGTAAATATTGTACATATGGTGTGAATGTGATTTATTTACTTTAATTTCATCTAGCTTGTATCTATTATTTCATTATTTTTTTTGTACACAGGCATACCAATTTACTTATTTTATTTTTTTATATTTCTTTTTCTTTATTATTGATATTAATTGTATGTACATATTGTGTGAATGAATCAGGTAGCCTTAATATTAATGCCCTTCAATGTGGCAGAATGTATTAATATTCAATAAAGTTAAAAAGTATTTTTTTTATTGTATTTGTAAAACGATAAAAATGCTCACTCAATCTATGTTGTTCAAAACTGGAGCAAACTTTTATAAAAGAAATTACAGGTTTCTTACATTTGTGATTGTATCAACGTATGTAATGTAATTCCATAATTTACATTCGATTTCGTCACAGTGCTTAAGGAATAACTTTGCTCCTTAAGGGATAACATTGCTCCATCGATATAAAATGTTTGGTATATGGTCCATAAGTGGTAGTGTAAGATAGCAAAAGTCGAGCTAGGGGAAGATGAGAAGAATATCTTATGCACTAATGTAGAAGGATTAACATGAATTGTTAGGCATTTTTCTTTCTGGTATTTCAAAGTTTTATTACTGGGTCCCTTCTACTGGAATTAAAAAAGTGAAGTTAATCAAATCCTATCGGTAATTGAATCGGTGAGTGCAGAATCCACTTCATACCTCCTCCAAATTTTCAAATATTTGAACTTTTTTTTCTGTCATAACATACATTTATGTTGCTGTTATGCAAAAAATACTCAATTTCGACATAAATTAGGCTTAGGAAAATTTAAAATTTGATTCGGACGTATGCTGTTTCTGCACTCAACTGTTTTTTACAGACAACTGAAAGCTTGGATTAAGCTAATTATTCATTAAAAGTTTTTATTTTTTAATTAGCAATTTATTTTATAATAATTTATATTAATTTTAATTTAATTTATTTATATTAATTTTAATTTAATTTATTTTACAACAATTGTAAAAACTTATATCATATTATATCAAAATTGAATTTACAGTATTGCAAAGTCATCATAAAACAGATATAACAGAGTGAAACGCTGTTTCGACACGTATCATCTGTATTCATATTTCTTTTCATGAATATAAATATATTTATAATTTTATTCATTACTACCATAAATATAAATGGTCTTATTTAATATTTGAATATAAATATGCCCATCTCTGCTGATCATGCGATCCAGCCTTGGATGCAGAAACCGCTTCAGTCACTGACTCATGTTATTTCTACTCTAAACGATCGAAAAAGAGGTATTGTATTTCCAGAAGTACTCAACCGACTAACGTGGCTCTTGCACTCAACAAGCATCTTGCCTTTCTAAGCTTCTTTTCATCAAAAAGGATATTTCGCATTTTTTTTACTGAAGTGGTTTCTGTACTCACTGATTCAATTACGAAACAGATACGAATTTCAGTTATAAATTTCTTCCTTTGTTGTTATTTCTAAAAAATGGGACTGTTGATAACTTTCAACCGGTAATTGGGGATACCTTAATTTTCAGTATACGTGTGTTTCAGCAAATGTGTCTTCATAAGTGGTGCTAATTATTCAGATTTGTTTACTATCTGATTTTTTTGCTGTCGTTATGTTTTATCATATTTTCTATATTAATTTTTAACTTCTTTCAAATTAAGTAAAAAAAAAAAACATGTATTTATTTTGCTCATGATTTTTATTGAATTAAAATTTTATCTTTGATATATTTTTTTTTTCAGTTCAATTTTAAAGAAAAATGTTAAAAAAAGAAATATAGGTCTCTAGTCTAGAAGAAAAGAGGGTATTAAAAATAACGGACCAGGGGGTGAGGGCGGGGGATTAATACCAGAGTTAAAAGCTACTCCCCCCCCCCGGCATCGGGACGCGAACTCCTGATTATTTTATACCTTTAAACTTCGGTTTATTTATCATCTAGTTCCCGGGCAAAAAGCTCGGCAAATCGCCCCCTCTCACCAACATATTTTATTTCCAGTGGTTCTTTTTTTGTTGGAAACAGATTTAAATTTTACTCGTATTTGGTTCTCAGGGATTTTAATAAGTTTTAGAAATTGTTCCCTGTTCTCTCAACCGATCCATAGACTATGCTCCACTTTAAACAAAAAATAAAACACTCAAATATCAACGCAGGTTGACCGATGACAGTTTAAGTAACTCTTAATAAAGAAGAAAAAAAATCGAAATTTATGAAAATAAATTAATACCTGTTTCCAAATGCAGAAATTGGTATGAGAACATTTTTATACACGATGGTAACAAAGTACAATGGTGAACTTTCCTTCTCTAAGTGACAACCAAACTCAACAGAGAAATACGATGTTTCAAGATATATTAAGGGCATCACTGATGTTGGTGGAATAATTTAGTGTACTTTAAGTAATTCATGATTGTTCTATTTAAAATAAAATATGATAGATAATTATATTGTAATTATCAAATATAATAATCATATGAAATACTTATATGAAATATAAATAATAAAATATAAATTGATAATAAAATAATTTCTCAAATCTGGAGAAGCTGAGGCATGAAATTAACGGTCCTGTTGCTCTAAAAACATGAAGTCTTTATGTTATCAAAGTTAGTTTCTTTTGCAATAAAGAGTCTTAAGTTAGTTATTTTATTATCATGTTCATTAAGATTTATTTATGTTGTTATTATCAATAAGCTTCTTGTTTATTTTCTTGTTTATATGTTATTGAGCTTGAAATGTATTATTAATTCAAATAAATAAACAGTAATTGTATGATAAGTAGACTAAAGATAACGTTGTATATTTCATAATTTAATTTAAAATTAAGTAATTTTTTATTCTCAAAATTATTTCGAATTCAGATGAATAATTATGTATTTTTTTTTTTAATGTAACGATTTAACAGGCACTGGAATCAGAGGTTCACGGGTATCTTGATAGCACAACTATCTACAGCACAAACTACCCCAGCCCCATCTCAGGTAACTGCCGCATTATCAAATCATTTTCTTTAATGGTACCAAGAACAATTGGAAAGTTCTTCTGCTGTTGGAGTCATCCCATCATCACCCTCCAGTCTGTTGCTCGTCGGAATCCAATCCTATTAACGGGGAAAAGAATCATAACTGTTTTTCAGAATTGTAAATCCTAAACACTAGAAGGAAACATACCAGAGAAGTTTGCATATTATAAGCTATATGGTAGGAAAGTTAGTTAGGGGATGCTGTCACCGTAAAATACACAAATATCTTTTTTTTTTAGTTCTGTAATGAAGATGAAGTTTTCATTTAATGCTTTTTGAAAATGTTTTTTGATTTATTTTATTTGTGTTTATTGCTGTGACTGCAACCCCTCTGCCCTTCTGTGTAATCGGCAACACCTTCAACTTAAGCCCATCAACTAAAATTTAACTTACTATTCAGGATGTTTCAGGGTTATGTGGCCAAGCTGCAAAGATGAAATAAGGACCTCAAAACCAGAAAAACAATCCTGTGAAGGTATTTCCTCAAACGCTTTGTTTAGGAGATATTCACACATACAGATTTTCGTTGTTATGAATTATTTACGTCATATGAAATAAATAAAACAAATTATAAAATAAATTATTTGTTCTAACTACATTATTAATTAAATGCAAACATTAACATTCATGTTAAAAGTTGTTCAGTGTGATTTCCTTGAGCATTAGGACAGGCTCGCCATCTTTCTTCAACAGCAGCAGTGGCAGAACGGCACTAGATATGTGTTATTGTTTCACAAGATTCAATTATCCTTCTTCGTAAGGAATTAAGGTCATTGACCGGACTTGCTCAATCATCATATTTTTTCTCCAATTATCAAATTCTTTCATACTTTATATTTAGCCATATTATAATAGTTACTGTCAATAAGAGAGAGTTAATTTTTTTAAATATAAGAAAATTAAAGGTACTTTAATATATGAAGATTGGGCATTTAAACAATGTAAAGTGAAATCAATGTGAATAATACCTAGCTGATATTAAAAATAATTTACTAATACACTGATATGCCGAATTTAATTAAAATCATTAGAGCCGTTTTCGAGAAAATCATAAAGATGTGTTCTGTCGATTATATAAAGTTGACGATTTTGACGAAAAAGTTGTTTTAACATCCCAGGCATATACAAGCCTTAAATATGTAATATCAGCTTCGTACGAATTTTCGTTTTTGAGTTACGCTGTTCCCATACACGCACGCGCGCGCGCACACCGTTTTGCGGGACTTGGTTATTTGGATTCATGGTTCAAAACGTGTATTTCCCTTGAATACTTTGATTCGAAAATTTTCATGATTGCTATATTTTCCCTTACTATATATTACATACATAGGCATATGAATAATTTCCCTTACTATATATATTACATATATAGATAAGTGAATATTTCCCTTACTATAAGGTATATTACATATATAGGTGATGAAAGTAAAAATACAATGTTTAAAATAAAATTAGAAACACTTCTCAGCGACAATCAATAAATTCATCATTACTGGTTTGTAAATGTTGAAAGATACGTCAGGAAAACACTTTATTAATAAAATGCCTGAGGCAGTATTTCGAAATATATATTCATTTATAACCGTTTACAAAAAAAAAGAAAAGAAATAAAAACAGAGATACATTTCGAGATAATGATAAAAATTGAAGCGGAGAGTGGGATGGGCTAGAGCTGGCAAAACATGGAGAGATCCTGCAATTAGGGATAATGACAGGGATTGTATATACTATTAGCCCTCTCTCCCCCTCCTCCCGTATGTAAATCTAACTATTTCCCTCCTCCTATTAACAGACCGAATCCAAACCTAACTATCTTCACTTCTATTAACAGGCCCAATTAACATCAAAATGGAACCACCTTAATGGATGAATACGAAATGAGGAGCTCCTGTGACCAGCATCTCAAAGCTTCTCTCCTCGAATAATACGGACCCACTGTGCAAGGGCTGTATAGAGCTGAAAAAAAACTTATGCAGCAGGGCTTTGAGCAAGTTCGTAAACTTAGCACTGAGCTCATTGATGATATCGGGAATCCATCAGACCGTTGGTAAGACCATAGATGGAATTCAGCGCGTTGCTTTATTCATCGATTGAATCAGTGCTGATTCAGTGGCTCCATCGGTTTTTGGATTCGATGGATTTCAAGGATATAAACTCAGTGCTGTTATTTGGTTTAATAAATTCGACAATTCATTTGTTGCAATGTTCTTCTTATTTTTGTTTCATATTTCGTAATCTTCAAGGAGTTTTAACCTTCCGCTTGGATCTAGCAGATGCATCCTAAACGCAGCATAAATTGGCTCTGGTTTCAAACGATTGATGAAATCCAACAATGAAATTACCGCTGAGCTTAGAAACATAATCCTTACTGCAGGCTCTGGTATATCTACGTGGTTTTTCTCAAGTTTTGACGACATGTTCGCAAACATTTAGTTTTGTAGTTATACCATAAAAATACACCAGCCCGTCACATTATCACCAGCTCGTTTAGTATTCTCGATGTACTTTGAAATGAATTACGAAATTATAAATGCAATTATTTTTTGTCAATGCATGGTTGATATATTTTCAAGAGAAGTAAAGCGTACCGCATCAGACGACCGGGACCGTATAATACAAACATGTGCGTTGGTCATGGACAACCATCATTTATAATAGTTTTATTTAATTAGTTTTACGTAAGGTATGATAACTGTGTAAATATGTTTGACGAACAGAATTCAATCTGTTTGATTGCACTTCATCCTGTAACTGAACAAATGACTAGGTATACTGTATTGCATTCATCCTCTTTTTGAACAGTTGTTATTAAAGAAGTCCTCAGGCCTTTTTGTCTAGTAGTCCTCTTGAGGACCGGGCAAGATGGCGACAGGCTGTGGTTAGATAAGAAGAAAGATGGCTGCCGCGGAGGAGCTAATTGGTCTAGCGTGGGGGTTAACGAGCCAACCTGCGACCTCCTTCCGTCATCTAAACTCTACTGTACTTTACTGGTAACTGTTACTCCTACTATAATATATAGTATTTTTATAGTACTATAATATAATGTTTTTTCTATTTACTGTACTATACTTTACCAGTATCAGCTACTCCATACTATAATGTACTACACTGTGATTGTTTTAACTATCTACACTATATACCTATAATATGATAGTATAGATCTCTTTTCTGACTCTCAAAGCAATGGATTTTGATTAATGAGGTGTTTCATAACGTAAAGCCTTACAACAAAATGCTTTAAAAGTCAGCGAAAAAATTGAGAGTGTTGAAAACTTGAAGAGGTAAATGGGGTAGAATAGCTCTATGATCCATTGAGTGTTTCGGATATTACAGAAAGAAACGTTTTAATATTTTTATAAAATAAGAAATATCCTGTACGAGTATACTGCCAGTGATAGACTTTTATACCCTCAGTAAGTGAGGAAACTGTAAATTAAGATTCTTCTTATTCGTTTTCCATCCGCCAATATCCAGGCTCCTAAGTTCGTTTTCGTCATCATCGAAGTCTAGGCCTGCCTATTTTTCTTCTTCCTCCCGGGAGTCCTTTCATCATCATTTTAGGTTATGTTTCGTTCTTTGCGCAATGTCCAGCCATCTTATTCTTCCTCTTTTTATGGTGGACACGATATCTGGTGCATTAAATAGATTTTACAACTCATCGGTCTTCTTCATCCGCCAAAGATTCTTTGTTTAGGTTATAGATTTTGCGGAGGATCTTCGTTTTCCACATGTTCAAATTCCTCTCTTCATGGAGAGAGAGAGAGTGTGTCAAAGATTCCCTTCTATATGTAACAACTGGTTACAAGACCGTCTTGTGAACACTTATTTTAATAAATTTTAAAATATCTTTGACAGAGACCAGTGGTAACTATTAGCGAGTGTTATATTTGTCTTTATTTGGTTAATTATTATTCCAACAGCGAGAAATAAATAATTAAACAAACCAAAAATCGTGTCATCCTTGAAAAATGAAGGAATTATGTATCATACAATTACATAACATTTCAATCGAGTCCAAAATAATGTTTAATAAGTCAACGAAAATTCTAAACTAAAAAGAATATTGTCTAGAATGTACTTCATGTATCGATAAATATTATTATTAATCGATTATTATTGATATTAATATTGATAAATATTAATTGGTAAATATAGTTCTATGGGTTGAATTAAAATTTAGAAACAACATGGAGTGTATTTATGGATTGTTTATAGAACAATTAAAATATAAATGTTTATTGTTTTCATTAGAATAGGATCGAAATAAGTTTTTATTTCTGCATATAATACCTCTTAAGGTATTTTTTTTTATTTCATCTCATAGATCTTTTCTTTTATGTATTTATTTAGAAATATAATAATCTGTCACATGGACCATAATTACAGTGATATATGAACACATTCACACCATATATACAGAAAATATAAAATTAAAAAAATTAAATAATAATCGAAAACTATGTACAAAAAAAAAAAAATACCCTAAAGATAAGTAAATAAAAAAAAACATAAAAACACAGTCATACTATATACAATCATTCCAGGCTTCTCCCTCCAACTATAGAAGGAAAAGCAGGACTCCAAGAGATTCCTGTGCTACTCTCTCAACCGCGTCACTGGTGCGAAACCAGTGGAGTTTGAGTGAGAGCGCTTTAGCCACATACACACATACAGTTTTGAGTGGAGAATCTGACCATTGTCAGAACTCGAAGATATATACTACAAAAGATCTCTGGGCCACTGAATTAAATGTTATATATCATACATACATAAAAGTCTCACCATCTAAAAATAGCATCATGCACTGTACTACTATATATGAATAGTACATTGCATGGTTATTACAAGATGATGAGGTAAGAACGCACGCTCAACATATTTCCTCTAATCCTTTGAATGGTTAATACCTCGTTGTGATTGAGTATTTCCCAAGTGTACGAACCTATTATTGAGTGGATCTGCGGCTAATAGAAAATAAAAACTATTTACAGTCAGATGGGGGTGCCGTTGGGTACTGGTCTTCCACAAGTCTCTCAAGCTGATTGCTGTAATAGTTACTTTGGTGGAAGGAACAGAAGTGCCATTATTTCCTCAGAGAGGATATTGATGAATAAACACCTTGTGGCGGCCGTGATAAAGGGTACGGAGCAGAAGCTAGCACAGATGGCTCCCCGATGGTCCACCTGTTCCAACCCTTCCGGATGATCCGGATCGGACTCCCGTCTCGCTATTGTCGTGCTAATCTCTCCAGAGCCGAGGGTTGTCATTTAGGCCTGCTAATGGTTGGGGGGGGGGGGGAGGAGGACAATTCCGCTCGAATCTGGGTCATCTCTTTCAGCAATCGCGGAGAATGTCGCTGCCGTTTCATGGAGGAACCCTAAGTACGCAACCTACAACGACATGTCCATAAGTAATCTTAAATAAAAAATTAAAATCGCCATTCATACTTTATACTATTCAGATTACAATTTATACTGCTAATATAATATGTGGTATAAATGATCGCATGAATCATCACGTAACAGTAATATCACAATTAATTTGTACTCATTAAAACATATATTAGATCCACAGTTTACTTTATCTTTACTTTGCACTCAACGTTTCAGCCCTTAGACCGTTTTCAAGGGAAGAAATATTATTTAAAAGTGTATAAAAAAAAGTCATTTGGACTAATCACAATATCACATTATCACATTTTTTTGATAATTCTCTCTTGATATGCATAGGCATATCTTACATAGCAGCAAGTTTGAGCCAAGCGGTTTACAGATTTTTAACATTGACAGAAAGACGATATGTTTGTATTACCTAAGATACCGGAATATTAGCAACGTAAGTATGACAGTTCAATAGAAGTATTTTTAATTTATTAATTATTACATGTTTATTCGTTGCTCCCTCCCTTCCTTGTCTTTCGATAATACAGGATTGTATTTTTTTTTATTGTTTTTTATAGACAAAGGAGAATCATATGAGTCTGTCATTATCATCGACATAGGTATATTCTCCGAATATATTGTAAGATTTCATTGAATGCAGTAAACTCCGCAACTAGAACCTGAACTTACCTGGTAGAGTGTATAGGGATCCACTTTGATTTTACACTTTTGTACCATCAATTTTTTTGTCTCTTAAGACTTATATATCCTCTTTAGATGCGACAGGCACTATTCATCTGCTCTATAAGGAAGCAGACTTCGTAGAGAAGCAGAACGAAAAATTAAATACCAACGGTAAATGACAATGTAGATGTTTTTTTATCAAGACTTCATGAATCTATTATATGTATCTATACTCTTCAATATGTAGGATAGCATAACGATGATCTTTCATATTAATGAAACGTGCTAGTTGAAATACAAAAGTCAACGGATGCAAATAGCAAAATGAAGGGTTGGGTGTCTTTGAAGAGTTGCTTTCCTAGGGATGAAATTCGATTGGCAATCAAAGGCGGACTATGCAGGGGCTCCAAAGAGGTCAGAAAAAAAAAATAGAAGAGGTCAAGGAGGTACATAGCGCGGCTAAATTGGACCATTAGAGCAAGATAGAGACAATAATGACAGAGCAACTATCGACGAGGCACTATCTCTTTGCAGGCTCTAATTGCCCACAGGCCACAGCCCACTTTATCAAATCATACCTCATCCTCTCCTTCGGCTCTTACCGTTTTTTATTTTGTTACAACAGTTCGCCTATCTCCGTAACCAATCTTATTCCCGGGCGGGAAAGCGTCTTTTTGCTTTCTAGAGGAAACTAAATAAGCTTACAAATCTAACCCAATTTCATGATTGGTACAAACTTTGGTAGCTTAACCCCCACAAAAAGAAGATTACATTTGCTCGTCGGCACGAAACACGTCTTTCAATTTACCTTGACAGTGTCGAGATATTATATATACTATCTACACGATTACTATTTATTGTCATTATCACGGTTATAAGTCGCACCCACTACCATTGAGTAAACTGTGAGTCCGTTACGTCTCATCAGTATTGATTGTCTGGAAGGACCATCACAACATTATATTTGACGTGATAGTTGGCAGTAGCAGTTGATGGTGGTAGTTGGACAGTAATTCCGCCCTTGATAGTGACAGCGCTTCATTCCCAAAAAATGTTTGAAAAAGAAATGCTATGAAGTGACTATTTTTATTTTTTAATTTAAGATTACTTATGAACTTGTCGTTGTGAGTTCAGTTCTTGAGGTTTCTCCATAAAACTGCATCAACATCCCCGGCAAAAATCATAACAATTAGTATTGAACTCTAATTGGAAGCGTGGTAACTAATTGTTACCATGCCCATCTTCAGGTGCTTTGCTATGCGGTACATTATGCTAGCGCTTAATCCTTTACTGAAAAAAAAAAAACAAAGAACAAAAAATAAGAATTTCCACAAAAAGAAACGCTACAGTTACTATTAATGAAAAAGTACTGAAAGAGTTACAAAACGTTTTGGTACATTTATACATTTTATGCAGTTTATATAACAAATATAATCAAAGAATGATATTGCTTACAATCAAATAATTATACCATTTTGTGTGAATTAGTTCAAGGACTAATTAATTTTTTAATAAATATATTTTTTTAAATTTAATTGAATTACAAAATAAATTTGTTTGTTTAACCGACTGAACATCAATTAAAACTTCTATATTCTTATTTAATGTTTTATTTCTGCCAAATAAAAATGCTCCCATTTAATGAGAAGACTCGACGCGAATAAGAGAGAACTGCAATAAAATTGTAATGCCGCTCAGCTATGTAAGGTTGCTAAATCACACTTAACACTTAATTTACGAAATAAGCTTCTTATCTACAATATCATACTGAGACCAATTTGGACATACGGAGCAGAACTTGAGGGTTCGACAGAACAAACACACATAAACAAAATATAAATAACACAATCAAAAATTCTACTAAAAATTGTGAACGCACTTTGGTACATTTAAAATAACACTGTACATAACGACTTGAACATCCCAACAGTAAAATCTTACATCCACGGCAAATACACTTCATTTCACTCTTTTAAATCAGTTCAATCCATTAGTCCTTTATATTTCCTGCTCTCTCTTACCTGATCGATGCAGATTAAAATGAAAATGACCAAGGGACCTACTACAATAAATAAAAAATGAAACTGAATGACACAGGAGACTGATCCATCTGATTGACAATATCTAGTGAATTGATTCAGCTTGATATGCTTTATATAGAAAATGTCTTTGTTATTTTCTTTCTTTTCTCATCCTCATTCTTCTCAATTCTATCACCTGGATCCATATAGCAATGACAAGGTTTAATGGAGGTGATAAAGCAGAATTCCCAGTGACTTCGAAATAATGGACTTCGACACACTCTGTATTTCATTCCTTTCAACACCTAGCTTTTCCAAAAATATAAGCAGTTGAAATAAATTTCAACAACTCCAAGAATCAAATTCTCGCAACATGTACATAGTTTGCAGTATATATAATATATTCTAGATGTTATCTTGTGGCATGCTCCAAGATCTATAAGTTTGGATGAGAACAGCAGGGCGGTGAAGAATAAATTGGTACTCCAGAAATACATTTTGCTGGGCCTTGACATATATTAAATCCCCCGCTGAAACACTACCTTACCCATTATAATGTATTCAACAAAAAAATATATAAAGAAATAGTATACTTAACATTATTCATGTAGAGGCGAAAAATAAAATCTGAACCTGGGCTGACCCCCCTGGGCTTGGAGAACAAGCCAATGAAGGTATGCAAGCAGCATAAGAGGCCTCGTTATGGGGGGCCATATAAAAAAAGCCGAAGGGTTGTTGGTTAAACAAATAATGACCGAGTGGTTGGTAATGGTTTTGGTTTTGTACGGTGGATGAGAGAGGGATTAGATACGGTGCACATCTGTGCGAGGGGCCGCCAGCGAGCTTGTGACGACCGTGAACGACTCCATCAGTTTCTTCTTTATTGCTCTTTAACCGCTCTTATTTAGTCATGCCTCTTTGGCCAATCACCCACCGTTTCGAAGTGTCATTCGTTTGTGTTAAAGTTTAGTTGAACCATTATATAATATATATATATATATATATATATCAATCTCTTCGGCTCAGTGAGTGTCCTTTTATAAATTATCAAACATTGCTTGTTAACATTTTTTTAATTTTTCATTTCATTTTCATTCAGATTACATAAAGTCGTTATTTTTGTTTTCATTGAATACTCCATATCTATGATCTCCAGCCATAACTAATTAAGTAGAAAATGGTTCTCAGGTGTTATGTAAATTGAGATCATCTTCCAGGCGTTCTGAGCACCATGAAGAAGTTAGTAAATTCAGAATTATCGTCTAGAATTCTAAAATTGTTGGTACTTGGAAGATGATCTCAATTTACAGAACTCTTGAGGACCATTTTTCGACTTCACTAGTTATGGCCAGAGACCATATATCAAAGAGTAACCATTAAATTGCTATAGGAATATTTTCGAACAGCATCCAGACACCGGGTATGTGTAAACGGTATATTAGTACAAGTATTTTTTATTATAAACATTGATATACATTGAAAGAATAAATACTTAGATACATTTCTAAGCAATACAAATTATTTCTGGATTATTGTTGCTTAACTGCGATTAATATAATTCACTACGTTTTTTTTTTAAATTTTATTTCTTCACCCACACCTGTCATAAGCAATGACAATTAGTGGGTCTGATGTCGGTAAGAGTACAGGTACTGGCTTGATCGGCGTGATGGAGAGGAGCGCCCAGCGGAATCCCTTCTTGTCTTGATTTTAACATCTTTTTAAGCGAGGGAATCCCACATCCAGCTCCTTTTGAGCCTCCTAAGTGTTTTTTTCGGGCATGTTAAATGTAGCCATACTTTGTATAAGTGTATTAGTAAGTCCATTTAAGTTATTGTGAAATCGCTTGTAGTGTGTCAGTATGTGATCGTTAACTGTTGGCATTTGAAGGTCTTTATGTAATGTAATGTTTGAGACGTTCCATGGAATTTTAGTTATGATCCTGATAGTTTTGAACTGAAATGTTTGTAGTTTTCGTATGTGGGTCGTTTTGGCTGTCCCATAAATTTGTGAGGCGTAGGTCCATATGGGTATTGTAAGTGTTCAGTTCATAAAAATGTAAATAAGTTATTCATTAAGAATCACTGATATTAACCTCCAACACTGATTATTGTAGTGA